CATCCTCCTCCTTCTCCTCCTCCTCCTCCTTCTTCTTCTTCTTCTTCTACTTCTTCTTTAGACTTAATCTTCAGTGGGCAGACGTGTACCATCAGGACATAATAATTATTATTCTGCCCTTCTTCACATAATTTGCTTTCGTTGAGTTATTATATTGTGTTCCTCTTAATCCTCCGACTTCCACATCCAACTGAGAAAGCTATGTTCTTTCAATGGATTTGGAATTGTATGATTTACTTTACTTACTTTACTTTTTTCTTCCTCTTGTACCGGGGGGTGTCGCGAGGAGACACAGGCGTCTGTCTGCAGCAAGGCGAGTGGCCTGTAGGAGGGACATCCCGTTAGCTCTGAGGGTGTCTGCCACAAATTCACTCCATCGTCGACTTGGTCTTCCTCTGGCTCTCCATCCAGAATATTTAATGTTGTATGCTCTCAGAGCTGGATGGTTTGAGGGCATCCGCGTGAGGTGTCCGAACCACTTGACTTTTGTTTTTCAATGTGTGGTAGGACTGGTGTTGCTCCTACGGTGTCCCCTATGACTTCATTTTTAATTTTGTCTCTTCTTGTTTTGTTGACCATTCTTCTTAAGCATTTCATCTCGCATTTGACCAGTTTCCTCTCTAGGGCTTTTGTTAGGGAACATGTCTGGCACTGATATGTGAGTGTTGGAAGGAAAATGGCGTTGATGAGCTTCGCCTTGGTGCTCATGGGGGATATTGGGATGTTTCAGGAGAGGGCCGAGTTGATAGCTGACTGCGTTGGCTCTCTGGCATCTAGTCTCTATTTCTCGATCTAATTTTCCACTTTCTGTGAAAATGCTGCCCAAGTATTTGAATTCTCTGCTTTGTGTTAGTTGGGATCCATTGATGTTGATATCCGCTATGTCTGGTCTCCTGCTAATTGTCATGACTTCGGTCTTGCTAATACTGATCTTCATGTCATATTTCTCTCAACTCGCATTTAGTTGGTTCATATGATCCTGTAGCTGGGTCTTGTTGTTCATATTGCCAGGTCGTCTGCAAACATGAGTTTGTTTGACATAATATTATTATAATTATAATAAGAATGATAATGGAGATGATTATGATAGTGCCTGCTCGCGCGTGCACACAGCTCAAGGAGCCTGAACAGAGTACGGATCATCATATTTTTAAAAAATATCTTTTTGATAAGTGTTTTATGGCTCTTGTAACTGCATAAGGTCATAATATGAGCGTGCTGGACATATTAAACACTTTTTGAGTTGGTAGGAAATTTTGAATTTCGCTTGGGTGACGACCGAAGCCAACTCTTGTTGATATTGGACCACCAAGGGATCTTTAACGTGCGCAACTTGCACTCGGGACATCCGAGATTTTTTGCCCCTATCCGAGAAGACTAGGTGTAGACCTTACGTACCATAAGATCAGGGGCGTTATTAAAAGACAGCAGTATCAAAGGGTCATCGACTTCAGCCTTTGAAATTTCTTTTTTTTCTGGTCTTCTCAGATGATGTGATCGTTCGTTCCTCCACCAAGGTGGCTTATCTGGGCCAACGGCTTCAACTAACCTGCGAGACACACCACGGTGAAAATGTCACTTTCCATTGGAGGAAACCCAAGTAAAATCATCTTAGAATATTATAATTTTAGTAGATGGTGACACCTGTGACAAATAAACAGTATTATTATTTTCTTACCAATGATATATCTGTCATAATTGTCTGTTCTTGTGTTGTTTTGTTTTTTAAACATATGTATTTTTACCACCCCATCGACATAATTTAGGTAATTTTGGAGGCGGGCTTCCGACCCTGCCTGTCATGGTCAACCAGGGCAGAGAGGAAAACAACATCCCAGAAGAAAGACTGTTTACTCGATAAAAAATTCTCCCCACTTGGGAGTCAAGGTCGGTTCTCCTGCGTTTGACAGCGAAGCGCTTACTGCTACACCACAGACACCGGTATCTGTTGTTGAAGGAAAACCGTCCATAATAGAGAAACCAGAGTCAGTTTTTTTTAGTTTTTTTTTAGGGGGGGGGGGTTTGGTTGGATCAAGTTTGTCGTTAATATTGTTGTTTTGAAAGGACATTCTTTAATCTAATTAACTATGCACTTATTATTATGACCGGTACTTAGTTTTCCATTGGTTTTTTTAGCATGTCTTATTTCCATTCTGAGTAGTAGGCTTTATGTTAGGGATCCGTCATGTTTCGAATAGTGTTTAGAATGTCCAACGCAGTGCAGTCCTTGATACAGTATTTAACCCACACTGGTCCAACGGTATCACTAAGTTGAGCTAACTGCGTTTGTTTGCATTGACCACTGTAAACAAAATAAATGTACCTTTCTAATTATTTGTGTGAAACTGGATTTGTTGGGGGGTTTTCAGCTCAAAACAAAAATAAAAGGTTGGAAAAAAAATCATGTCTTGGCTCTATCCGGAAAAAAAAATCCTCCTAAGCTGCGTTTATGCGAACAGTTAGTATAGTTTTTCCGTGAAGGTGTATTCACGTCCCCATTGACACAATTTAAATAATTTAGGAAGCAGGTTTCCGACCCTGCCTGACAGGCCAAAGAGGGTTGAAAGGGATACAACATGCAAGTAGGAAGACCGTAATACTCGATGAAAATTTCTCCCCTCCCCCGTTGGGAATTTAACTTCATGTCTCCAACGTGAGACAGCGAAGCATCAAACCGCTGCTCCACAAGCATCAGTGAGCCTCAGAGCAGTATATGATGGGGAGTGGATTTGTACTGAGTTCAAGTTAACAAGTTTACACAAATGGGTTCAAGTCTTTTGGTAGATACTTGTGACAACAAATTCTGAAAAGAAAATTTTTTTTCAATGTTTTCAAAATAAAGGTGTTTTTTTGTGTATGTTTCTTCGTGGACTTTTTAAAAAACTGGGTTGTGTAAAAAAGGAAAATATTATATTACTGCCTATTGCATAACTTAACCCTTTTGTCATAGAAGTTTTGTCTGCGTGTGGACCGAATTTAATGTTGGCCAAGGATGATAGAGCACGAGGTCATTTGCATTGTGGGTTATGATATTTCGCCAAATTAAGCCTCAACGGTTTTTTATGCACCATTAAAATGGGAAATTAGATCTACTGTAAAAACCAGATCAGTGAACAATTGGGCTAAAATATCAAACAAAATATTATAATTCACTGAGATGATACAGACCGGACCGACAACAAACAGCGCTAAATAGTTTGTGTGTGTGTTTTGCTTTGCTTGTTTTTATTTGAATTTTGTGACATTTGTATTTTTTTCCTCCCAATCCGCAGTATCACCCTTGATGGTTCAAATCATATCATCGATGGTGAAACATTGACCTTGGAACCTGTCTTATCAAGGGATGAGGGACGCTATTCCTGCTGGATCGAGAAAAATGGGACACGGATTTCTTCAGCCAATGACTTTCTGATACAACGTATGCCAATTTAATTCGCAATTTAAAATCAAATAAGCTTTCTAAAGACGATTAATATTAGGCCTACACGTTCGTCTTTTTTCCATTTCACACACATAAGCTAAGACCAGGTTCTTAAATCAGTGCATTAATTAGACCGCATCTTTTGACATGAATGATATTAAGCCTACCAATAAGCCTTAAATACAACTATAGCACTAGAGCACAAATCAAGCACATTAATCTCAAGTTGTTACACAAATTAAAATTTTAATTATTTTAGTATCTCTTCTCAACTTAAACATAATGATACAGCTCATGTTGCGACTTTGAAGCAGTTTTAAATAAATAAACTGTCTTAGAATTGGCACAATTGTTTCCGGTGAGATCTGACATTCTGTTACCACTCGCAAGGAAGAACGCCTGACGAATTCACAACACAGTGTGCACATAGGCGCCGTTATAACAATGTAAGAGAATTGCTGTCTTCTTTGGTGTCTAAGCTTAGTAGAATAAGGCGCTCGTCAAGTTTTGGACAAACATAATAATATGGAGGTATCATCTTAAAACTTGTTAATAAGTTAATTTTTTGTTGTTGTTGATTTTTGCTTTATTAAGGAAAAAAAGTCCATTTTGTTCAGAAAAAAAAGTCGAGATTTTCGAGATTGAAAGTGACGAGGATGACCTCGTGTCAGAGATGACATTGGCGAAAAAATGGCCTCCAAAGTTTGCTGACTGCCAAAGCTTGAATGTCTTTAGAAATTGTAAATTTACATGTGTTGTGCCTTTGATCACCGTTTTTTTTTTCCAGTAAAATTTAAAAACAAATGTGTCTTTAAATGGACATAAGAGGTGTTGAAGGAGGAAAAATTGGTAAAGATTGCTCAACGGACGGAAAAATGACTGTTGTTTTTTTTTTCCTTCGATTTTATCATTTTGACGAGTGCTGATTTCACCACAATGCAATAAGTTTGTTTAGGTGCTCATACTGACAAAGATCTCAAAAATAATTTGGCTATCGTTGCCAGATACGCACTTCAAACCCTTCGTTGTCCTAAACCACGCTTATAATTATTAAGTGATGTTTTATCCAGTACACTTTTTTTCTTTGCAAAGGGAAGTAAACAAAATTCGATTTACCAACCAGTTTGTAAATAGGACGATTACCTGCGCCTATCTTAGAATGAAATTTCAGCTTCATGTAATAACCCAGCCCCTTGGTGCTTAATGTAATAACCACAAACACCACAAAAACTAATGAAGCAGAAATCATTGAGTCATCATAGTGAAATCAGGCACTCGGCAGAATAATAAAAATTAAAGAAATCTACATTTTCCCGCTAGTTTGGCATTTAAAAAATGTTTTGCAAACAGTTTTTATCGAATTATTTTTATTAATTTTTTTTTTACTCTAAACCTTCCATGTCCATATACAACCATATTCCTGTGGATTTTTCTGGAACTCGATTATTACAGAAACAAAAAATGTAAATTTGAAATTTCCAAGGGCTTTCAGGCTTTGGAAGTCATTAAACTTTGGTGGCCATTTTCTCGCTAATTTTACCTCTGAAACCAGACGACCCCCACCACCTTCAATCACAAACCTCTCGACATCAATTCATGGATAGATGGCTATATTTATTGAAAGCAAGACAAATAAACGGGCTTTAAGATTATACCAATAACTCATTTTGCCCAAGAACTGACGAGCGTCTGTTTTCACTCCGTCGCGACACAATATTAATGATTATAGGTACGTGTTCAAAATATAGAATAATGTGTTGATGAGTTGAATAGAACGATCTCGCGTTTATCCTGTGTTTACTTAAAAAGATGAGAACAGGGGGCATACTTTCGACATATTTTTCCATTATGAGTAAAGTGAGATAGATGAATAGAGTTAAAGAGACTCATAGACAACTTATTATGTATGATGATGTCATCAGAGAGAGAGTGAGAGAGAGAGAGAGAGAGAGAGAGAGAGAGAGAGAGAGAGAGAGAGAGAG